CACACACACACACACACACACACACACACACACACTCACACACACTCACACACATACACACACACACACACACACACACATACCACTTACTTGCTGCTGTGAAAGTGTTAACGGCTCTTTACCTTTGTTGATTTGTACTACAGTGTTCCCTGCCATCCAGTCCTGACCGGTGCCCTCATCCACCCCTAGTTATCTCCCTCCTTCTTCAGGTGCGCATGTACTGTAAACAGTCCCCACATTTTTGTCCTTTTTCATGTCTTTGGTAAGAGTTTGGCTCCTCTCGCAACTACATCTACACAAGGTCGTGTGAGCACGCGTGTGTGCTTTGTTGTCGGAAGCTATCGCCAAATCTACTTTTTTAAAGAATGTTCAAAACGTATCTCAGAACACTTTATGTTTGATAGCAATGGTATTACGTCTCGGGACATTGTTTTTTGTTCGTTTGTTTGTTTGTTTGTTTGTTTTTTTGTTTATTACAAAAGGTGATTTAAGCGTGTACTTGATCAAATGTTTCACAAAGCCACTACCTTTCGACCAATAGGAGTGACCTAATACCCAGTGTACACTACAGGTACTTTCATCAAATTGCCTTTTCGTTTAGTTTGATACATTTGAGGGTTTCGTGTCCTGATTATTCCTTATTGGAGGGACCAAAGCTACCCGTTAGGCACTCTTTGACCAAATCCCCCAAAACTAAACAAGTTTGACTTTCCAGGTTCATGCGTGATATATTTGATGAAAGCAAGTATTCGGAAGGTTAATAACCTTGGTGGGGTGAGATTTTTCTTGTGGCTGTAAGATGCGATATTATGTCCTAATTTACGTCCTGGTCAAATTTGATGGAGCAGGTCGGAGGTTAGTTTGATACAGTGCGCATTGGCCAGAGACATCCCTCTAATGTATTAAACCATAGAAACTGCTGAATTTCTTTCGTCATCCTTATTATCGTCGTTTCCGTCAACTTCTTTTGTATGTTTGTCACTCTCTTGTGAACTGTTATTTCCGGGGTGCCTTGATAGTCGAAGCAGACTTTGTACTGTTGAGGCTAAAGAGGGGAGCAGAGTAAGCCTAGTTCCCCGTTTAGACTTCTCTGTTGACATCCATTCCTTGGCGCTCATATGACCTTGTGCAGTTGCGAGCTCCGTAAAAGCTTACTAAAATATAAAAAAACATAGTACACTGGGATGCGAGGAACAATTCTACAGTGTGCACTAAGCATCAACTCAAGACCTTGACATGACGTGTGCGAGAGAACTTGGTCATTCTGAAGTAGCGATATGGTGTCCTTCTGCGGGACGAACATGCACTTCAGATCTTTGACTACCCCTGTAAACATGTTGACATCATCATCGTCATCATCCTGGCATGTGTTCACCGGTGTCGGTGGTGTGGTAGTTAGTCACTTCACAGAGGCGCACAGATCCGGACTGCGAAGGATACAAGGTTCCAGAAGTTGGATGGAGATATCAAATGCTTCATTAAAAACTTTCTCTCATGAAAATTGAACCCACGTCTTCTGCATGTGAAGGCAAAACATCTATATGCTGCACCAGAGACGTCGATCCAACACTTTGAAAACCTGTCAAATATATTATTCTTTAGTCAGAGCAAAACAGGCGGCTCGTTAGCTGCGTCGGCATCATGTTAGAACGACCGAGAGGGTGGCCAGAGAGTCGGCATCATGTTAGAAGACCGAGCGGGTGGCCAGAGAGTCGGCATCATGTTAGATGTCCGAGTGGGTGGCCAGAGAGTCGGCATCATGTTAGATGACCGAGCGGATGGCCAGAGAGTCGAATCCCAAACGGAGCGTTTCTATTTGTTTTGTTGTTGTTTTTATTATGTTGTTGTTGGTTGTTTTGGGTTGG